CAGCCTCAGGGTCCGACTTCTGCAGCAGCTCGAACTCCTTCAGGGCCTTGCGCCTCTTGCTTTTTTTCAGCACACGATGGTACCTGCGGCACAAGGCGGGACAGCCAGTGAGCGAGAACTCGCGGCGCTGGGGAGGCCTCTGGGAAGGCAGCACTGCCCCGGGCAGGAGGCTGCAGGCCCCGGGAGGGCGCCGCTCTGCTTCCTCCACGTTTTGGCCACAGCCACATAGGGAGCAGGGTCGCCTCCAGCACCAGGAGCCAGCCCTCTCCCACCCCACCGAGCGTGGCATCAAGAGCCTTACTTCTTGCTCTTGATCTTCTTCTCTCGCCGAGCCTTGGCTTCATAGTAGGACTGCACAGCCCGAGCCTTCTGCAGCTCTGCACGCCGCTGCCGTGCCTGCCGGGGAGCGCAGAGCGAGGGTAAGTGCCGAGGAAGAGGCCTCTGGAGCCAGGGCAGGGCCTGGGGGAAAGTGCTCACCTCCTCCAGGCTCATTGCCTGCAGCGAGGCCGCTTCCTCCGGCGTCAGCAGTGGGTCGGTGATGGGCTGCTGTGTCTTGTGGAGCAGCTCGAAGATCTCCTGTTCCAGGGGAGTTCTGGCCTGTGGGTAGAGGAACAGGCTCGCGGTTGGCAGGCGTCGCCAGCCAGGCAGCACGGGACAAGCAGCAGGAGGTCCAGGCCACATGACACCAGGAACTGTCGAAACGGGAAGGGACCTCCGGGCAGATGGAGGCGAGCACCAGGTATGCTGCCTCTCACCTGAGCACCTGGAGAGCTCTCGAGGATGACAGCAACTTCCCTGCCAGCAGCACAGCCCCCATGGGAGCTCATGCTCAAACTCAAGCATCCTTCTTTTGTAACCAAGATGTACAGAGGTGCAGGCTTTGGCAAACCGAACCCCCTGCCACCTCCGCTTCAGCACTTTCTCGAGGAGCGGGAAACCAGCAGGCCCGCCCTCCACGTCCGTGGCTTGAAGACTACAAAGAGGAGAGGGCGCAGAGCAGGCTCCAAACCCGCTGCTCATGCTTCACCCAGCTTCTCCCAGAGAGCATTTACACACTCGCTATGTCTGAGGAACACAAAAGATTTCCCTTTTCATGTTCCCAAGCTTGGTGTTTACCTGCCCAGAGCCTCAGTTACGGGCTGGGCCTTACCCACACTCGCCTCTCTTCGCCCGTGGGGCCTGCGTGACACACGA